GATGATGATGATGATGATGATGATGATGATGAAGAGGAGAAGAGAAAAGGGAAGAGAGGGTGGAGAGGTAAAGGAAGAGGAAAAGAGGGGGAGAAGGAAGAAGAGCGGAGGAGCAGTGGTAGGAGGGGAAAAGAGGAGGGAAGAAAGAAGAGGAAAAAAGCACAAAGAGGAAAAGAGAAAATGACAGACCGGCCACTGGTGGGCAGGGGGGGGGAGGACGGGGGAGAGAACGAGAAGCAAGAGAAACTGGAAACAGGAGAAAGGGAGAAGAAACAAGAGAAGCAGAGAAAAAAAGAGAGAAAAATATCAAGACAGTGGGAAGGCGGAGACGGGAGGGAGGAGGAGATGGGGGGGGGGAGAAGGGGGAGAAACGAAAGGAAGGGAGGGCAGAGGGGGAAGGAGGAAGGAGGGAGAACGGGGAGGGGTAGGGGTGGGGGGAGATAGGGGAGGGTGATACGAAGGAGGAGAAGGGGGCAGGGTGGAGTAGGGAAAGGGGGAAGGGAAGGGGGAGGGGAAGGGGAAGGGGAAGAGGAGGGAAGGGGGAGGATGAAGGCTCTCTCACCCGCCTCAGGTGTCAGTGTCAAGAATCAGGTGTCAGGTGTCATGATGATACACCGATCGCTTTGACAGGAGCCGCATTGACAGGCATTCTCCATGGGAATCCGGGGGGGGGGAGAGAGAAAAAAACTTGGGGAAATGTATATATTTAGATAAAAGTGGAGAAAGGGGAGAGGGAGATAAGGAGAGAGGGGGAGGTGGGGGAGTAAAAGAAGGGATGAGGAGAGTGGGGACGAGGGGAAGGGGGGAGTTAAAGAGGGATTTTATCTTTTATTTCAACTTATTTCTCTGTCTCTCTATCTATCTATCTCTGCATACGCTCGCAGAAAGGGGCGGGCGTGCCGTCCTGCGCGCACGGGAGCGCAAAGGACCCGAAGAGGCGAAGGGAAGGCCGTCGAAAGGCCGCTAAAGGGGAGGGAAAGAGGATTCTGATAAAGGGCGAAGGATGGCAAAAAATAGAAGCTGGGGGAGACGAAAAAGATGATGATGAAGGAGAAGAAAATTCGAAAAAGTGAAGGAAATCTAAAGAAAACGGATAAGAAGAACGATGACGAAGATGAAGAAACAAGAAAAAAAATGTCCAAAAAAAAAAAATAAAGAAAAGCAAAAACATAAGAAAACGATTAAAAAGGAGAAGAGGAAGAGAACGAGAACGTAAGACGGAGAACAGAAGGAAGGAGAAAGAGACAGGAAGAGAAGGAGGGGGAGAGAAAGAAGGGAGGGAGGAGACAGGGGCAGAAGAAAGGAGGGAGAGCAGGGAGAGAGGGAGACAGGGGCAGAAGAAAGGAGAGAGAGGGAGACAGGGGCAAGAAGAAGGAGAGAGAGGGAGACAGGGGCAGAAGAAGGAGAGAGAGGGAGACAGGGGCAGAAGAAGGAGGGAGAGGGAGACAGGGGCAGAAGAAGGAGAGAGAGGGAGACAGGGGCAGAAGAAGGAGAGAGAGGGAGAGGGGCAGAAGAAGGAGAGAGAGGGAGACAGGGAAAGAAGAAGGAGAGAGGGGAGACAGGGGCAGAAGAAGGAGAGAGAGGGAGACAGGGGCAGAGGGAGAAGAAGAAGGAGAGAGGGAGACAGGGGCAGAGAAGGAGAGAGAGGGAGACAGGGCGAGACAGGGGCAGAAGAAGGAGAGAGAGGGAGACAGGGGCAGAAGAAGGAAGAGAGAAGGGAGACAGGGGCAGAAGAAGGAGAGAGAGGGAGACAGGGGCAGAAGAAGGAGAGAGAGGGAGACAGGGACAGAAGAAGGAGAGAGAGGGAGACAGGGGCAGAAGAAGAGAGAGAGGGAGACAGGGCAGAAGAAGGAGAGAGAGGGAGACAGGGCAGAGAGGGAGACAGGGGCAGAAGAAGAGAGAGGGAGACACAGGGAGACAGGGCAGGAAGAAGGAGAGAGAGGGAGACAGGGGCAGAAGAAGGAGAGAGAGGGAGAAGGGGCAGAAGAAGGAGAGAGAGGGGAGACAGGGGCAGAAGAAGGAGAGAGAGGGAGACAGGGGCAGAAGAAGGAGAGAGAGGGAGACAGGGGCAGAAGAAGGAGAGAGGAGGGAGACAGGGGCAGAAGAAGGAGAGAGAGGGAGACAGGGGGCAAAGAAAGGAGAGAGAGGAGACAGGGCAGAAAGGAGAGAGGGGAGACAGGGGCAGAGGAGAGAGGGCGAGGAGGGAGACAGGGGCAGAGAAGGAGAGAGAGGAGACAGGGGCAGAAGAAGGAGAAGAGAGGGAGACAGGGCAGAAGAAGGAGAGAGAGAGGGAGACAGGGCAGAAGAAAGGAGAGAGAGGGAGACAGGGGCAGAGAGAGACAGGGCAAAGAAGAGGAGAGGGGACAGGGGGCAGAAGAAGAGAGAGAGGGAGACAGGGGAGAGAAAGAGAGAGAGGGAGACAGGGGCAGAAGAAGGAGAGAGAGGGAGACAGGGGCAGAAGAAGGAGGGAGAGGGAGACAGGAGCAGAATGAGAGCGAGAGCAAAGCTACCTGAAGACCCCCCCCCCCCTGTGGCCAGCAAAGGAAGGTCTTCACCGCAATCGATAAAGATTTTCGTTGGCGCCGCTCATCTTGCGAAGGGGAGGGTGGGGGAGGGTGGAGGAGGGGTGCGGGAGGAGAGGGGAGGAGGGAGTGAGGGAGGGACAGGGAGAGAGGTAGAAGGAAGGGAGGGAAATGGATGGAGCGAGGACATGGAGAGAGGGAAGACGGAGCGAGGGGAAAAAGGAGGAGGGAGTGAGGACAAGATGAGAGCAGGGGAAGGCTGGAGTGAGGAAAAGGGGGGGGGGAGTAAAAGGAAAAGGGGAGAGGAGTGGAAAGGGGAGTGGAAGGGGGAGGAAAGGGGAGTGAGAAGCGTGAGAAAGAAGACTAGGACAGATGTGAATAACTTTTGCCTGCTTGCTTGGGAAGCGCTCGCCGAACGCCCTCGCAGGAACGTGGCGAAAATAAGAGAAAATGAAAACAACGAAAGGAAAAAGGAAGAAAAGAAAAAAGAAAAATAAGGGGGATGGTCGATGGAGGTGATGACGCTGATGGTGATGATCCTGATTAATGGAAATAATCATGATAATAAAAATGATAATATCATAACAATAGCAATAGCAATAAAAATTAATTAGTAAAGACTATAACAATAAAAGAACAACCACTAAAATAACAATAATGATGGTAATAATAACGATTACAAAAATAATAGAAATAATAAAACGATAATGAATAATAATAATATAATATAATAATAATAATAATAATTAATAATTAATAACAATATAGGGATGATGATGACGATGACAATGATAACAATAATAACAATAATAATAATAATAATAATAACCAAATTAATAATAATGATAACAATAATAATGATAATAATAATAATAATAATAATAATAATAATAATAATAATAATAATAATAATAATAATAATAATAATAATATAATAATATAATAATAATATAATAATAAATATAATACAATAATAATAGTAATATGATAATAATGATAATAATAATAATAATAATAATAATAATAATAATAATAACAATAATAATAATAATAAATATAATAACAATAATAATAGTAATAATGATAATAATAATAATAATAATAATAATAATAATAATAAATAATATAATAAATAATAATAATAATAATAATAATAATAACAGCAAAAAGGAACGGCGAGGGTAAATGGCAACATCAAAAGAATATATGAAAACAAATCTAATAACAATAACAGCATCAGTAGTACGACCAAACAGCACGACGCTAAAAACCAACTACGACAACAAGAAAAATATCAATTAATAAAGCAAAACACCGTTAAAACGAATGGGAAATGAAGGAAAGAAAGGCAAATGGAAAGAGTGAAAAAATGGGAGCGACGAATGACAAACGAGAAACGCTGGAGAAGAGCAAGGAAAATAAACACGAGAAGAGGGAGACGGAAGAGAACAAACAAAAATTAAGTAATAGAACAACAGAAGGAAAAAACGACGACAAAAGAAGAAGAAGAAGAAGAAGAAGAAATAGGGAGAAAGAAGAAATAGATGAAGAAGAAAAAGAAAAAAAAGAAAACAAGGAAGAAGAGGAAGAAGAAGAAAAGAAGAAGAAGCACAAGAACCAGAACAAGGACACAAAATCAGACATATAATAAAGACACCCGAACAGGAGAGGAAGAAAGAAAGAAGAGGAGAGAATGAAGTGGCGAAACGACAAACTGAGAAACTATTTCCCTCGCTAAGGATTCCCAAGGCGTGACAGTCACGTAAAGGGAGATACTAAATTACCTTAAGAGCATTTGAGAAACTGCCTCGCCTTTGAGACGAATCAATTGAGAGGGAGGGAGGGGGAGGGGAGGGGGAGGGAGGGGGAGGGAGGGAGGGATGTAAAGAGAGAGAGGAAAGGGAGATGTAGATATAGATAGATAGATAGATAGATAGATAGATAGATAGATAGACAGATAGAGATAGATATATATATAGAGAGAGAGAGAATGCAAAAAGTATTGAGAAAGACAACAAAAGTAAAGAGAATAGGAAAGAGAAAAACGAGAAAAGAAGAAACAAAAGAGACGACAAACCGGAATAAGACAGAATGGAGAAAAGAGTGAAAAGAAAAGACAAAAGAAGGGATAGAGAGTTGTGAAGGAAGGTACAGACCAACAACAGCAGCTGAAGGAGAACTAACAGCTCATGAAATCATTAAGTCCTAAGAAAACAAAACCAAATAAAAATACATATAGCAAAATCATGATTTCTATTTATAAATAAACAAAAAACAAAATAAAAATGTATCAATAAAAAATAAATAGACAATAACATAACAACGCACAGACTGACAGACACACACGCATACCAACGGCGGACACACCAACACACAAACAAAAACAAACAGAGATGAGATGGACAAACAGACAGAGCCACAGCATACAGACAAACATCCCGATTTGCCCCCCCCTCCCCCCTCCCTCGACCCCCACCC